TCCGCTGTTTGAAACTAAACTACATTGCTGTCTTTTCGGGCTCAACAAGTTCACTGACTTCAATAAGCCATTTTCCCCAGACAGATTCTCATCAATGTTCAATGAATCTTCAAGCTCAGGATCATCCTTCTGAGCATCAGGAGTAACACTCCCCATTGTTCCGCTCGCTATACCCAAATCAAAGCCGAAGAAATTTCAATTTCCCATCTTCTTATACGGACTGAAGAAAGACCACTTCCAAATAATCTGAAAGACAAACATGAACAGAACAAGTGAGAATGTTAACTCAGAAGCGCACAAGATTTAATCTTAAGTTAGCAACTCTTTTGGACAGAAATCATCTTCAAAAAGATTTGTATTTTGTAATATTGTCAAAATCAAAATTATGCAGAATCCCAAAATGTGCTATGAATCTACAGTTTCAAACAAAAGCCGAATTTGAGAGACTCTTAATGCTAACAAAGCTAAATTGCTGAAAAGTCAAGGTCTTTAAATATTACCTAACCTCTTACCTAAAAGCAACAAAAAGCTAAAAACGAAGAACCCTACATAATATTGACAATCAAAGAAAAGCTTGAATTTTTAGATGTACCCATTCTTAATTCAATCACAGAAAAAGCAAAACTTTGATGAAGCTTCCAAGCTCGAAAGAAACATTTGAAGAATAAGCACCTAACTCAAGCTAACAGAGAAAAAGTAGAAAGGTAGGAATTTTATTTAGGAGTGACCTAGAAACTAAAATTCTCTATCTGAATCACTTCCTGTACCAAAGCCAATCCAGAGTCCATACATGACTATGAACTTAAATTGGTCCAATAAAAAGGAACACACAAGGTAGTAAATAACTCGAAGAACAGATTTTTAAAAAGCAAATCTTCAATACTCAATTTTCTTTTACCTGGAGGATGGAAATTGAACTTATTGGATGGATCGAAGCAATCTCCTCCGCCAATTCTGGACTGTTGCGATCTTATGTCTTCTCTGTTTCCAAATGTCTTCTATTTAAGAGGAAACAAAGAAAAAAAAGAAGCAAAATTTCTTCTTCCAATAAGCAATTATGAGTTGGGGAATAATGAAAGTGGGAAAAGCTTGCAAGGAAGAGTTTTCTTTCTGGGTTTCTAGAGAGAGAGATGGGGTAGTTTCAGTAAGGCACGTTAATGTCTGACTAGTAAGGTACCAATGGAGACGAAGAGAAAAAAAGGAACGTCTTTTTTTGGTGTGTGTGTGTGGTGACTTGACTATGGCCACTACTAAGGAAGGGTGATTCTTACAAATGCGGACCCACTTCTTGTGTGTTTTTCTTCTTTCTCTCTTGTGTCAAGGCTCGATATTATTAGGGTTTAAAGTATGGGATTTAGAGGGTGAGTGAGCTGGTGGGCACGATCGAGAGAGAGAGGGAATCAAAAGGAAGGTGGTGATGGCTACTTGTTGGCGATAAAGCAGGTTTTTTTTTAGTAGTAGAAGTTACTGTTTCAGATTCAGAGTAGTGCCCACATTTATTAACTTCCCCATTTTCTTCTACTATTCACTTTTTGTTTATTTTCACTATTTTCTTTTATTAAAGTTTTATCTTAAAACTTCTTTTTCCAATTATTGATATTTTAAAACTTTTTTTTAATGTTAATCGTATGGATCATGTATGGATCGAAACAAATCAGTCCACCGATCGTTCATATGCTTAGGTTTTGATTTGGACGTTTACTATGTAATCAGTGGCGGATCTTGAAACTAATTTCGCCGGGGCATAATGTATTAAATTAATAATACTATTTTTTTTTTCATTTTTGTGAGGTAATAAAAAAGAAAAAAATTGATTCTTGCAAAAGATATGACTAAAATAGAATACATCCATACAAAATAACTAAAATTTAGGGAAAAAATTATAAAAAAAAAAAAAGAAAAAGAAAAACAAGTATATTAAATAGGACAATATGGGTTTGATCGTGGATTTAAAATGGGACAGAGGGAGATATTTCATCATTTTAGCCAGCAAAACACAAATGAAATTAATAAAAATACAACAATTATTAAAATTTCAACAATTATTGAAATTTAACTGCCTTCTTAGATCCGCCCATGTATGTAATGGCTTGGTAATGTATAACTTTTTTTGCTAACGATCCAATGTTGAATATTGAATATTCTTTTGAAATTTTTTTATAACCATTGTTGAATATTGAAATTTACATTAGTTTACAACACGTCCACGTTATTTACCAATCCCGGATCGAGTTACTTATATATATTTTTTTTCTATATACATACAAGTAAGAAAGGAAAAAAAAAAAAAAGAAGACAAAGATAAGATGGTACTAATTATCATAACCTTTATTACAAAAAAAAAAATCATAACCTTTATTACACAGCAAAAAATTATTAAATTTCAAGCATGTATTATATGCAATTCAACAAAGTTTCTAAATTCTCTACTAAGTTTTGTAATTTGATTATTGTTAAATTTTAACAAATTTGTACTAAACAGGTAAGACTGACTTGACTAACATCATCCAGAAAATAAGAGGTTTCTAAATTGTATGATTGTGCTATAAAACGGTAGGTTTTTAATTAGATAGCTATTTTGTGATTTATTAGAAATCGGTCGACAAAATACATACTGTATTTTGGGAAAAGTTAAATTAAACCATTATATTGTTTATTTTTTTTAAAACAAACCCTACAATACATATTTTGCCTTTTTTTATACGTGATTAAACTATTTGACATTTGGAGGCTTTAGAACATATATTGATATTTTATCTACGAATATTGAGAATATATGGACCAACCAACAAAATTACAAAACTATTTTGTCTCATTCCGGACCGTGAGCTTGCGGCACATGATTGACTCGACCATTTGGTTCCTTCTTCACTTGCATTTTACGCATTTTATTTAAATTTCAAAATTCAAATACGTAAATCTCGATATAGTGAAGTTTAGTTCCACGACATATGTGTATTATTCTTCTTGAAGATCGTAAATGTCAGTTCAAATATTCATCTAGAAGATTATATGTTAGTAAATATATATCTATATGACTTTAAATATTCGTGTAAATTTAATCGACCTACCGTACGTATTATAAAAGTGATGCTCTGGTTTGTATAATCTAAGATTCTCCTCCACCAAATCCGGTCCATATGTTTGCACTCATCTCATTAACCTTTTTTAAAAGGAAATGTGAAGCATCAACCAAAATACATGTTTTTTCATGCATGTGATTATTTAGTCTTATTTCTTGGATTTCATAGTTCGTTAGTTTGTCTGGTCTAAAATCATATTTATTGATATTTTTAATTTTTGACACACGTGTAGATGTCCTGGAAAATAAGTTTAGCAAATAGACTCGAAGTTGATAAGATTGTGTCGTGATCAAGTTGTGGAAGTCTATTTTCTAAAGATCAAGATCGGATGTTAATTTTTCAAAAGAGTAATTATTGCCATGGTGAATTTTATAACTAGCTCATTGGACTTTTAGGATAAGTTTAGGTGTTGGCTCTGAACACTTAGATTAAACGATAAATTAAGGAACCAAAAATGAAATCACTTTGTTTTCTCTCACACAGAAAAATACATTTCTTTGACCTTAAAGTTTATAAAACTGTATTTATCGTGTTTATAAGTCAAATGGCATAGTTAACTCTTGAATTGATATAGTTTTATATAAAACAAAAATCTGTAGAGATTTCATAAATTTTGATAGTAACCTTTCAAAGGGTCATTATCATAATTCACCTCTAAAGTCAAAATCATTCTATTTTATAATATTTGCCGTTAAGACGTTTGGTTCGAAATTATTGACTTAGTTTAGTCGCCATTTGTATTTAAACAGTCTTCGGTTAGAACTTAGAATTCAATTTTTTAGCATATGGGTTTTCACTTTTCAGAAACGAACACAAAGAAAATATTTAACATAATATATCGAATTATTTCATTACAAAGTTACTACAAACTTTTTTGTTCTTCTTTCAATTTAGCAACAAATTGGGAAAACTATATATGGCCAATTGACCATGAAATTATGGTCCGATCGTCATTTATTGCGCATGCATCAAGTCGTTAATCGTTTGAGGTTTACAATATTCTTAAATGGTAGCTACAAGGGAGGCCTTAATTAGATAATTGATCTTTAACACTCTGTTGGCCCAGTCCAGCATTTTGATACAAACAAATTCAAGCCCAATTATTGCATCCTTTATTTTTAAATATAGTTACTATCTAATAATTAAAACTTCTAACCAGGTGTTAGACATGACATGATGACAATCTGACCGGTCTATTCATTTTTATGCATAGAACAGCTAAATCTGGGTTCGTTGGTTCAGGATACTCGACCTCGAGTAAGGGATATTTCTCAGGGTACCTCTTATTCTGGCCATCGTTGTTTCATAGATGGATCGTGGAAAAAAAGTGATAAATTTTCAGGTATAGGCTGGGTATGTACCTTAGTTAATGGAGAGGCGCCAATCATGGGAGCTGCAAACCTGCGTAGAAGTCTCTCTCCCTTACATACCGAAGTGGAAGCTCTTCTTTGGGCAATGAAGTGCATGATAGGTGCCGATAACCAAGATGTGGCTTTTTTCACAGACTGTTCAGACCTGGTGAAGATGGTGTCTTCTCCAACCGAATGGCCGGCATTTTCAGCGTATTTGGAGGAGTTACAGAGCGACAAAGAGGAATTCACAAATTTTTCTTTATCTTTAATTTCTCGTAGTGCAAATGTAAAAGCGGATAAATTGGCACGAAATGTTCGTACCGAACCGCATCACATCACGTATGTAAACAACATTCCTCAGGAATGGCTCTTTTGAGTCTTAATTAATAGCGGTTGACAAAAAAAAAAAAAAAAAAACAGCTGAATAATTTTAGGTCTAAATACGTAGATGTGCAAGGAGCAAAACAATAACTCAAATGATAATATAGTGTTCATGTGATAAAAAATTAAACTCAACTTATCAAATACATGACATTACATGCATATCATATAGTATGTAACATACTGTATCTACAAAACTTTCAAATTGATATATATGTAACATAATACAACCTTATTCTCACTACTGATTTTTATTCATCCAAACCTGCCTAAACGGCTAAACCCATTATTCATTATTTATTTAGTTTTTTTTTTCTTTGTTAGATTTTTTTTTTTTTTTGGACAGAACTTGTTGGGGCATGACAAAACTAAGTAAACAAGTTATAACTCTATAGAAATACTATTGGTATAACTATATATATAAGACTATAAGATTCATGTTATAAACATGAGTCTTTGTGGTGTGACACTTGGAACTCAAATCCAAGATTGGATTGGGTAGTTGCACTTGAAGGAATTGGCTCCACTAATGTGTGCAAAAATGTCTGAAGAATCTACCAATTGTTCCTCATCCTTCACTCCCATCTGTATATTCCAAATCGTTTTAGTTAGCTTTGATTAAAATCGATGCGCCATTTCGACATAAATTCATATAAATCGAGTTTACAATAACCCGAGTTTCTTACATCTTCTTCATCTTCATCATCGTGATGGCTTGAAAAAGCCTGTCTATTTGGTTCACCAAAATCATCATTCTTTGCAAATCTTCCTCTAACTCTTGGTCGACTATCTGCCAATGTTTTCCTACACGCATACTACAACCCAAAAAAAAAAAAAATCATTGGAACAACATCTAACAACGGTTTAGTCCGGTTTGGTTTAATAAAAACCGAACCTTGATTTTCTTGTTGAAATTTCTTTCGTTCCTCTTCTTCATGTACCTACGAATCTTCTCTTTCCTTTGCTCAGGGGATAGTTTTCCAACTTTGTTCATCGTTGAATCTTCTAAACCGTTTATCTCGACCGTTCCTAATGCTGGATGAGCCTGAGGTGCCACCAAGTTGCTCTGGTTCTCGACGCCACCAAGTGCCTTCTTCAACAAAAGTAAACCGGTTAGCACCAAATCAGAATATCGAACCGGTCATATGTCTTCATAACTAAACCGGTTCTTGAAGTAATCAAACGTAGACCGGATAATATTTGTAACAAAAGCTCAATACCTGGAGATCTTCTGGATTAAAGATACGTTTCATGGAACCCGGACAAAACAAACCACCATTATCAGCTTGAAAGTCCATCAATGGATTATGTGGCTTATTGATTTCTGATCCCACATGAATATTCCCGGGAAGATAACCGAGATTACTTTCAGCAGATAATAAACCGGTGCTCATATACGTCGGTAAACCGGACGTACGGAAGAAAGAGCAAGAAGGGTTCAAGCCAAGATTGTAACTTGGGACTGAAGAAAGACAATCTTCTTCGAAAACCCCTGATTGTAAAGGAGGAGGAGCTAGAGAGGAAACCGCCGATAGAGACAGAGGGTCTCCAGAGTGTGAAATGTTAGCAGGCTGATGAATAAGTTGGAGTCCTGATGAGAAATCAAACTGGTCTTGGCTTGTTGCCGTGAGGAGATGATCGATGACTGGATATTGGAGTGAAGATGATGAGAAATCAATTGAGGCCGTTATGTCGTTTTCGAAATCTTCTTGTGAATCAAAGATTATGGATAGATCCGTGTTGTTGTTGTCATCTTCATCGTCTTGAAGTTTTGTGTTCTTGTTGTTGTTACTGTTGTCAGTTGTTGTTGTTGTGGTAGTGTTGGAATGGAAGCTTCCGGATTTCTCGAGAATGTTTGAAGTAGAGGTGACTTCAGTGGTTTGATTAAAGGTTTCTTGAAAGAGTTGTGGATCGCAGAAATCGAAGATCTGAGCACTAAGAGGGCTCGTGATATCATCCTGGTGAAATAACACAAAAAATAGTTAAATTTAATGATTAGATCGAGGCGAAAGTAAATGACCAAGATCTTTTGAAGAGATTACGTTAAAGCCAATCATCAAAAAAAGAAAACAGAGGTTTTGGCTTGAGTCACAAGAAATCAGAACTGGTGAAATCATAAAGAAGGTACAAGATTGGTTGGTTCTTAAGACAAATTCATTTATACTCAAGTAAATTTTTTCTGGCTTAACTATGTAAAAAGAATCTGTAAGATGTTTTGATTCTGTTTTTCGACATCGAAACACTCCAAAGATTTTGATCAAATCCAATGTTTGTTTGTTATCAATATTTGTTGAGGACACCACAAGAGAGATTAAATGCATCTGTTCTTTTATGTGACATGTTAAGAAGAACTGTTCCAATTACTTCCAATAGCAAAAAAGGTAACGTAAAGAAGAGTGGAGTTTCTATAAAAAGAAAGTTTTCTGATTCTGGTATTTCCTTTTCGTATTGACAAAATAATTTAAAATTGCCTGGTATGAACCAACATCCAGATTTTTTTCCCACAAAGAAAAAGTAAAGGGCACTTCATAAAATATCAGAACATGTGTGAAACCCATTATGATCATGATCATATACCCATCACAATGCTCCTAGTGAAATTCACGTACGTAATGTGTGTAGATTTTGCATAACTATACAAAGTCCAAGGTGAGAGATTAAATCTAGCATTTTACGTTTGATGAAAATAAAAATCTATACTCAAATACGATAGATATAGTAAAATGATTACTGTTATTTTGTAGAACATTGTTCTATATCATGTGACGATTTTCTATTGGCATATAAGTAATGTTATAATGTTTAAAAACCGTACTGAAGGACAAATTGAAGTGTGTAGAGAATAACAAAGAAAGAAAAAGCGAAAGGAATGATGAAGCAATTGGAAAAGAGATCAAATGGAATATACGCAGAAGAAAATGACGTTACACCAAAAAAAGATAAACTAGTTGAAATTCTAGGGTTGCACAATAATAGACTACATAAAAGAAAAGTAGTATTAAAGGTAATTAGATTAGTCTCGAGTTTTATATGATCTCTACATGTAAAATTCAATGCTGGAAAAAAAATTCAAAGAAAAAAACATCGCATGCATGAACATAATTAATGAAAGCAATATGAGAAGAGAATTACGATGGAAGGCTGATCGTGAGACGAGATCATGTTTTGCAACATGTTTGGTTTCTTTGTATATCTCCAATGTAAATGCGAATTTTTTCTGGGAAAAATAAAGAAAATTCCCCAGAAAAGTTGAATTATAGCAAGAAAATTAATGGACGAGGCTTCACGGATGCTTTATGGAATAATATTGGAATGGGTGATGTATGAACAAGAAAATCCATCGAAGAAATTCAAATACTGGGAAAAAAACAACAAAAACTGAAAAAACAAAGAGATAATTGATTTCAAACAGAACAAAGGTTCTTCTGTTTGGACAGAGAAGAATTGAAATTCTTATAGTTTTCTGGAAAGAAAGAAAAGAGGTTATGGGAGTTTCACGTAACCATGATACATATATATATATATATAATACTTATGGTTTATGTATAGTACATTTGTATATATACCCATATTATATAATTATGCATGTGTGTATCAGACTATCAGTGTATGTAAATATTATTTTCACGTAATATATTCCAACGTGGACTTAATGTTAAAATGCGATGACCTCGATTCTCCTCTTCACATGACGTGGAATGCCACGTGGATATAAGAGTGTCGACGTGGTAAAAGGATCTCACTTAGGAAGAAACTATTTTGACCGGTCAATCATTTTGACCGGTCAATCATTTTGACCCAATTCTTGTTGCGTGGATTTTGACGTTTTTGACTGAAAATTATCCTAAATTAAGCCCTATATTTATGGAATTAGTTTCTATTTTTTTATTTTCATTTTTTATTATTTAGATATGCATTTTTCTATCTTTTATCTCGTTTGCTAAATTTTTTTTTGATAACCAGGAGGTTCGGGGCTGAAGCCCTTAATTCCCCCAGGGTCCGGGGAAGACCAGGTGAAAGCCCCTGGCCAAATGGAAATGATTAGCACTTTCGCGCTTGAGGGGAATCGATCCCTGGCCTGGACCAACAGGGCGACTCCTCTTCAAGTGAAAGCCACTAGACCACGACCACTTGGTTTAAAAACTGTTAGAGTAAACTTTTTATAGTGACAGACCCCACCGCAAAGCGGCCTCATATCCAGGAAAAACCCCACCTCCAGCCTGGACCTACGGGTTAGTATACACTGCTTGTCCCTACTCGTATGGAGGAGTTTTTATTTGGAGAGGTTCAGTTCACCGTGGTGACAGAGAGACTCGAACTCGAGACCTCTGGCACTCATATGTGAGAAGGAAATACCACTAGGATACCATCACTTCTCAAAAACTGTTACGGGTAAACTTTTTATAGTGACTGACCCCACCTCGAAAGGCCCCATATCCAGGAAAATCCTTTAATGCGACATAGAAACCCGTGGGCCATCTACAACAGGATTTATTTGGAGAGGTTTCAGTTCCACCCCGCCGACAGAGAGTCGAACTCGCGACCTCTGGCAGTCGTGTGTGAGAAAGCCCATTGAAACCACTAGGCCATCAAAGACTTCTCTCATAAAAAATTTAGACCATTTCTCGATTTATGCGTGTCATCCTTGCGCAGGGGCCATGCTAATCTTCTCTGTATCGTTCCAATTTTATCGGATGTCCCCAAAGGGACGTTTTTTTTTGCTAAATTTATTGACTTGGCTCATGATTTCCCGCAAAGGAGTGAAAAAGATTTTCGACTAGGTCAGTAAAATATTAGAAAATAGAAGAGGAAATATATCAAAAATAAAATGCTATTGGACAAATGTCTTTGGACAATAAGCATATTTGCCTTAAGAAAATATATTTAGGAATATCAGATGAAATTCGAAAACAATGTTTAACCAACTTCGAATTTTTTTTTCTTTCATTATGAAAATGATATTCATATAGAGAAATATAATGCTTTGATTGTGACAGTTTGAGCAGAGGGTCAATGCTTTCTAGCTTTAAGATATATGTTAACTTGTTAAGTCATTCCCTCTCATCCTTTGAGATTTCACTTTCGTACACTTTTGTTATTCTAAATAACCATAAGGTCCATAACAGAATAAAATATGAGAAGATATATGTGTTTAGCTACGAAAAGCTACATGCTTGAGAGTTGAGATCTCATTATCGGTTCGTAAGAAAATAAACGAAAGTACGAATCGTACGTGTTATCCATCAAAAAGTCAAAACTATATATAAATCATGAGTGTTCTATTTCACATTTTTAGTCTTCAAATTTGTTAGCATGTATTCATAAAATTATTCTAAGCTTTTATTGGATTGAGGTTTTTATGGACTTGAATTGACAGATAATATGTGGATTGGATTTTGAAGTCCAATGCTTGTATGTGGAGTTCACGTGGAATTTTGAAATACTTGATTAAATGTTTGGATTGTTTTTGTTCATGTTTTATGAGTAAAAGTACATTCAAATCCAAAATAAAACAAATCAAATGAATATTGAATAAAAGTTGTTTTTAATTCATTTTAGAATGCATCAAATAAATACTAATCTAATAACAACAAATTTTTAACATACTTTTGCAAATACATAATTGAATAACACTAGATTTCAAAGTCCATTAAAAACCCAAATCCAATAACACCCCCTTAAATCCACAATTTACATATGTAACTGTGTTGTTGTCTTGCTGATTAAACTAAAATATAATCATTTAAAGTTTTGGAAAGTGTTTTGGGGTTACGTACCAAAGTAGCTATACTATTTTAGATCTTAAGTCTTTTTTTTTTTTTTTTTTTTTTTGCATCTCACATAAACATTTTAATTTTTTTTTTAACATTTTAAATTATTCCAAGGTAAATATATTTAATTTATCATCTTTTTATTTGTTTATAACTCCTAATCACGAGACATCAACATCGATCGCCTGTCAGTATCTTATTTTGGTCACAAAAGTCTATCTAGCATTTGAAAATAATTGTCATGAGTCTATCTGGTTATTCTGTGCCAAAAATATTATTATTTCACTCTCAAGTCGTCTGCACAAATTAATGTTTGTAATATATGAGATATTTACATAATGTTATGAGCTTAAACTACACTATACCCATGCATAAGAGCGATTAACACACATTTTATAAGGATTATCTGAGTTTTTAAGCTTAAAATATGGAATTACGAGAATTGCAATAAATTGTTTACTGACAGAATTAAACGAAAGAGAAAATAAAAATGGAACAGCTTAAGATCAAAGCTGATTTGACGAATTGATACTTTGAAGATATGACCATCTTCATATAAAGTCTGAAATGCAATATATGCACACGCATTATCCAAATAGAAAGCGACCACCACTTTCAAAATATAAAACCAATACCTGGAAAAAGTAAGAGAATTTGTAATATAACGTATCGAAACAATTTAGTTAAATGAATCATATTTAACCATTTTATATACATATGTAATATATAATCAACCGTTAATTATAGATATATAAGATTCACCAAATGTTAATTACATCATCTCAAACGTTTTACATACGTATTATTTAGCATTGAAAACAATTGGCATGCGTAGTTGAACTATGTATGCGTCATTATTTCGTTCTTCAATCCAGGTTTCAATATTTTTTTTGGGGGCATTGTATTTGTATGAGAGTTCGCTTCCATTTTTGGATCCTAAGAATATAACTTTATGCAAATAGAAAGGACACGGCTATTGTGCTTAGTATGGTACCCTCATCGTCCTATCTTTAGACATTAAAACTAAAATCCATATACAAAATAAAGTACCATCATTTTGACCTAAGTATATAATTTTTATATCCTTTTTTTGTCAATCGTAACTATTTTTATATCCTTGCTTTACTTTTTTTAATCCAACCCGTGGAGGTCGCATTTGCAACGTGAATCCATAACGATATACCAACCCATCAACCATATCTCTTTTGTCAATGAAATGTACAAACAATTATCCCTTATTCTTAATAACAGATTTCTACGATCCTTTGAACGGTTGATTTTGGCTGTCGTGAAGATAGGCTGTTATTGGATTGTTGGTGAGTATATAATAGAGTAATTGGGTATAATATAGACGATTCGGATGCTAGAAAATAAACTAACTCGGTCTCATTCGATATATGAACAGATTTCTCATCATCCCACTGCCCGTTATAAGAACACTTATTCTTGAGACAATAACATGGTCGCGACAACATTTGACAAAATAATTTAATGAGTTAGTGTATATGAAGCAACCAATCGAACCAAAATTTATTATAAAAATCAATTAAATCTAAATTTTCAAAAGTATAGCAAGCTTACGAAGTTTACTGAAAGGGTAGAGTGACTCCTCCACCACACTCGTACACGCACGTTTTAATGCGTTGGTAATGCTTTTCTTCCTTATCAAGATTTTTTTGTATATCATTCTATATTTGCACCAAATCTATATGATGATGCTTTATTTAGTAAATCAATAAAAATTGGGCAATGGTTTTTTTTTTTCTTCCCTTCGAATTTGTATACTAAAGTTTACAAGAGCGATTCATATGATGGAAATAATCTTCAAAAATATAATAAAACAATTTTTAAGAATTTCAACATGAGTTAAACAGATCAATAAGCAAAAAAATTATAAACAC